GCTCCTCAGCTATAACCCCTAACTCTGCCTTTGCCAGGCTTCATCAAAAAGTCTTCAGGATTTAGAGTGGGGAACGAGATTGAGACATGTACTGCAAAACTTGGTACCTTCCATGATCCTGGCACAGATTTCCGCTCCTACTCCAAACTGGGGCCAACCTCCTTCTACAGTGACAAGATGGTTTGTCTTTACCACACTGGCTTCCACTGTTTCGATATCCATTGGTCGAATGCTTCTCAGGTTTATAACCTGGGGGGAAAAGGGATAATGAGAGCTTTGCTGTGACCTGAGCCTGTCAGTCACCACCGTTTGGGTACAGGGCCCCTCAGCACTTTCATCTGTTCTGACTTTAAAGACAGGTCTTAACAAAATTTCTAACTCAGAAACATGAAAGGCACGTGCTGTTAAAGGGACTTACAAATATAAGCAGCTTGTAGTTAATACACCAAAGTGAGCAGAGCCTGCATGAGAAGACACTCTGCTTTTTTCCCCCCTTCAGGGAAAAAGAAAGGCAACAGAAACCCCACTCACCTCACACTCTACACCTTCTTTAGCAAGTACAGTAGCTGCTTCCATACAATGGCCAACAGGTCTTGAGTGTGACACTACTGTAACATGAGTTCCTAGAAAAGAAACAAGTGTTAAAATAGAAAAAAACTCCTTAAGATTTAAAGCTTTTTTTCTATACCTCAGGCTCCTTTCAGGCTAACATTTAGATTCACTTGTAAATTTAAGTTCCTTATGTTTGTTTGAAAAGCTGAGCCCAGACATAGCAGGAAAAGAGGAAGACCTATGCTAAGACACAAACTTCACCCTTAAATTCAGGGAACTGAAGAGGTATTTAATATAATTACCAAGTTATCCTTTTCAAACTTTCATATAATTCAGTGGTAAATCATGAACAAATGGGGTGAAACACTACAATGATCTCTTTTTGCATTTTTGACAAAAATTATATACTTAGGTGAGGAAAGAAGTGTTTCAGCCATCACCTACTTCATCTCTACACTATGGAACAAATCCTTTAGAAGGGTATTGTTTTAGCTGAGATCTGGATTATCAGGTGATGTTTCCCTAAAAGGGTAACAGAACATGAAATCATACTACGGGATAAAAGAACATTTGAACACTTAACATTTGAAATACTTTTTTGTGCCCTGTGACAGCAGTACCCTGAATAGCTGAGATTAAAAAAAGTCCCCAACCAGGTCAGTTAATAAGGAAACAAACATATTCTCAGCTTACCTTGCCTTTCTACCTTAGCTTTTCCAATTGGAATAAGAAATTCCTTTGACTGTGCCTGTTCAGACATTTCAAAGGGAACACCATATAGTAATTCATTTTCCAGCATCACAACTAGAAGAAAACATACTTGGATTAACGTGTATGTCTGCAGGCACAGGGCTGCACTCACCATTAGCAGTCCTGCAGCAGCTCAATACACTAAACCCATCCAGGCAACAAAGGAGTGAGGAGCATGTTTGCAGAAGCAATTAAATAAAAAAATAAGTAAATCAGAGTCTTTACTTCAAGGCTGAAGTATTTAAAAAGCTGTCTACAACTAGTCAGCTACAATGAGACCAGGTATTTTACTTTCAGTACACAATGGTACGATCACCACTTTTTGAAAGGTCTCCCATTTTTCATTCGCGTTTGTGAAAAATAAAGACAAAGGTGGCCCTGCTTTCAATTGGTGACATTCTGAATTTATCATTTGAATTTCATGATCTGTAAAAATGAATTATATTGAACCACTGTACATGCAGGAAGGCCTCCTAACTTATCTTCATCCTTTTTAATCCCTTTATGATAGATTTATAAATGCTTCCAGGTTTCCTGGTTGGAACAAAACTCACACTAAAGCCATCTACCTGGCAACAGCACAAAATCAGTCTGCTGTTAGCAAGGCAGGTGACTGTTAGGGAAAGAGTAAACCCTTCTGTCTCTGTAAGTACCCTACTGCTGCAGTAAAGAAAACCTGAGTGCTTTACGGTTTAACAATTTTTTTGTGGTATCTTTTAAATGGGGCAGGAGGGGAAAACAGCCATTCCTTAGGACTGAGCGCCACGTATTGCCATGACCTGCCCGAGCTCACCTGGATTGTCGTCCCGGATCGATGCTTTCAGCAAACCCTTGGCGTCCTCTGCACTCCAGGGACTGACGACCTTGAGCCCAGGGCAGTGCCCGTACCAGGCTGCGAAGCACTGGGAGTGCTGGGCGGCCACTCCGGCTGCCGCTCCGTTGGGGCCTCGGAACACGATGGGAACAGCAATGGATCCTGCAGACATGTAACAGGTCTTGGCAGCAGAGTTTATGACCTGGTCAATGGCTTGCATGGAGAAGTTGAATGTCATGAATTCACACACTGGTCTCAACCCTGCCTGTTAAATACGTTAAAATGTATTAGCGTCTTTTTACCTAAAAATAGTTTAATTTTTAAAACCAGAAGAGGAAGAATGCAAATGTACAAACCATAGCAGCTCCGACAGCGATTCCTGCGAAGCCCATCTGAAAGAGAAGGAAACCGAGGGGTTAGGAGCAGGGAGCAGCTGATGGAGGGATCACCGGGGTTGGAGACAGGGCAGCCTCACCTCGGATATCGGGGTGTCGATCACTCTCTTGTCCCCGTACTTCTTCCAGAGGCCCCTGGAGATCTGGAGGGCAGGAGACAGGAGTCACGGCCCGCCTGAGGCCCTTTCCCAGCCCGCCAACGGCCTCCACAAACCTTGTAGGCGCCATCATACTGAGCCACCTCCTCGCCCAGCAGGAAGACGCGCTCGTCCCGCTCCAGCTCCTCATCCAGCGCCTGGTTCAGCGCGTCCCGCACCGTCACCTACGAGACAGCGGCAGCCGGGCTGGGCGGGGGCACGGCCGCGCTCCCCGAACGCCGGGGGTCCCCTCAGCCCGGGGGCGAAGTCATCGCGCCGCCCATTGCCCCGGGGCCCGACCCTGCCCTGAGGGGCGCGAGCCCCTCACCGGGGACAGCCCTCCCCGCTACCTGTATGGCGGCGGGCGCGGAGACGCGGAAGCCCCTGCGCTGCTGCAGCTGCTGTAGGTACGGGGGCAGCGGTCCCCCGGCGCGGCCCCGCGGGGCGAGGCGGGCGCCCGTGGCCAGGTGCCGCAGAGCCGCTGCAGCCGCCGCCATCTTGCCCGTGTCCTCTCGCCCTGCGGCCGCCAGGCCCCGCCTCCTGCGCGTGCTCTCGCGAGAACTCCCCGGCGCGCGCGAAAAGGCCGAGCGGGGCGCGCGGCGTTTTGGCGCCACTTCCGGCCCCGGGGGCCGCGCGAGGGGCGGGGATACCCCACGGGGTCGCGCATGGCGCGCGCGCCCGAGCGCCCCCGCGCGCGGCCCCGGCCGGGCCCTCAGGGCCCCGCGGGGACCGGACCCGCCCCGCGCGGACACCGCCCGCCGGCCGCGGGGGCAGCGGGGCGGCGCGTCCCGCCGTGGTGCCCGCCCGCCCCGCCCCGTCACCCACCGACAGGCGGGGCGGGGCTCGCCAGGACACTCCCCCGCTCCGCCGTCCCCGCCCGCGCCGGCGGCTCCGCTCCGGGCTCGGGCACAGTCCCCGTCGCTGCTGCTGCCGCCGGGCTCCGCCTCAGCGCCGGGAGCTGCACCCGTGAGTGCCGGGCCGGGCGGGGGGCGCAGGGCCGGGGGTGCCCCGGCTCGGGGGAGCAGCGGGGCCCTGCGGGGTTGGGGCCGCGCCCGCGGCGGGAGCGCTGGGGCGGGACGGGCGCGTCCCGGCGCGGGTGCGGGGCAGGTGCGGGGCCGGGTCCCCGGGGCTCCCTCGGGCCGGGAACGGGGAGCCGCGGCCGCGGCGCTCGGGCAGGGATGGTGCAGGTGCTGCCCAGGTCCCGTTCCCGGTTGGGCTGAGGGCGGAGCGGGGGGATGCCCGGGCGGGAGCCGCGGTGCCCGGCGGGGATCTCTGGTGAGGATGATCTGGGATCCGTGGGCTTTGCTCCGGGCGGGGAGGGCAGCGGTTCCTCCTGCGCCATGGGGAGAGGAGGCAGGGCTGGGGCTCTGTTTTGGGGTGGGGATGAGGCCGTGGGCTCTTGGGTCACTTGTGGGAGGGAGAGACGAAATGTCTGGGTTCATTTCCAGCGTCTTTGCTGAATCACTCTGATCCTGGAGAGAGTTCTGCTACCACGAGCTCGCTGGTTCCTCTGTGATGGAAAAGGGCACTTCCCGGCTCCTGCTGCAGCCCTGGCCCTCTCTCTGGGCTCTCAGGGGGTTTTCTTCCCGTCTTGCTGTCTGTGTGTGTGCTGAGCCCCATCGGTGTGTGCAGCGAGGCTCGGTGTTTCTGACACTTGTCCTCCTCCAAAACTGTTTGGAGACGTGTTTCCACATGGGAACAACACTGATTAGTGTCACAGAAGGAAAATACGTGGGTAAAACTCAATTGTCACAGATCCTGGAAGCCGGGGTGCTCTGGGTTGCTTCAGCAGGACCAGGCTGGATATGAGTCTTCCTTTGGCTCTCTGATAGGAGGGCCAAAGTCGTACTGGGATGTGGGCTCTTCCAACAAGAAGCAATTAAAAGGAAAGTTTGGAATCTGAGCTTGAAACAGGATGTCACAGAGCTCCTCGGGGGAGGGAAGGAAACTTCAGGAGCTTGGAATTTATAGTGAAGCAATTAAACATAAAGGAGTGAAAATGCTGAGTGTCTGGCGTGAGCGTTTTTCCGTCCTGCCTGAGGTGCAGACTGAGTATTAGTAAAAAACAACTCAAGAAAATCAAGTTAACATTTAATAAACTCCATTAGTCATTATAAACCTGACACGTGTAGAAGGTGGTAGATGCTTTCTTTAGTGAAGCCGATCGGCTGAATTGCCAGAAGATTCGGGTAACTGGTTGTTTTGAGAGCTCTCCTCCTCCTTGTTCTCCTGGTTAACAGGGTAGCACAGAATTGGAGCTCAGGGGTTGCTCTGCAGACTGTTGTTTTGCTGTAGTTTGGTGGAGTACAGTCAGCACTGCTGCTGTTCAGTGTTTGTCAGTTCAGGTGAGTCACCAATAATTTACAGTAAGAACTTGCCTTTCAAATGTTCTGACTGGCTTGGGAACAGAGAGGTTGTCCATGTACAGCATAACTGTGCTGGGGCTGGAGTTTCTTCTCATCTTCGGAGATCCAAGTCTGAGAGGCAGGGAGCTCAAGAGGGGGTGAGTAAATGAAATGCCAAGTGTATGTGTCTGTATAAGTGGAGTCTTAGCTTGCTCTTTTTTAAGCTGCCATTGGTAAAATTCCTCCCAGCTCTATACTGACCTAGAAATCAAAGGTAACTCTTGAGGTTAAACAGCTCGTGCTGTAATATTGATACCAAACTGCTCATGAAACACTATTGCCACAAATAAATCCCTTAATTCTTTTGTTGGAAAAAACAGATGAAGAACATTCAGAACAAATCAGATGGTCTGTGCCTCTTGACTTAAAACTGCTGGGTGTATTTCTGCTCCTCCTCTGGGTAACTGTGTGTGACATCAGTGCAGTGGTTTGTAGCCTGTGGCCTCAACCCGATGCAGTGCCTGTAGTCCCAGCAGTGCAAATGCCTGCAGTGCTGCTGGCATCCCTGGGCTGGCCTGAGCCCGGGTGTGTGTTTGCAGATACAGACATTCACCTGACTCTTACTTGCTTTCTCTGAATTTCAGCTTGCAGAATGGTTGTGGGTTAGCAGCTCTGTTCTGGGAGAAGCCCTGCTGAAGTTAGTGGTACTACCTGTTGCAGCAATGCTGCTGATAAACATCCCTGTAATCCTCTGAGTCATAATACATGAAATAAGAGCGAGCATTTTGTAAATGCAGGTACCCAGTTTGGTGTGTTGAGTATAAAATGATGACCTGAGTGCTTTTCTCGCTTCTCATTGTGCCTTTCCAGTTTTGGCTGTGCTTGTGCTGTGCTGTGGCAGGAGCCACGGTGACCATGTCACTGCTGTGTCTCCTCCCTGTGCACGGAACAGCGAAACGAGGGCAGGACTGTGGCTTGACACCATCCGGGCACTTCTGCTCCCACCAACGAGGGACATCCTGTTTGACTTAAACAGTGTCAGCACTTTGTCTGAATTTCATCTTAAATGAGTATTTCTTGTGATTATCAAAGGCAGGCTGATGGTTATCAAAGGATGTCATCCGTTATCTGCTGCCCGGACGGGTGTAGCTGTGTTGGTGAGACTGGCCCTGTGTGGGATCGTTGTGTGAGAGGGACCAGAGCTGGCTTGAGGCTGCCTGTCCTGTAGTATGGTTGGAGTGTCTGCCCATCCCCATTGATGATCACTGTATTCCATTCAGGAAGATTTTAAAGCATTGTTGTAAAGGCATATGTCATGAAGGCTGTACATCCTCAGCCTTGCTAGTCCTTAGCTCAAGTTGTACCCAAACTGAGCTACTTTAGCCTGTGAAGTTGTCCAGAAATTCAGAGCTCCCAGGCTGATGAGGGAAGCAGTGGATAGTTGGGATCACACTCAGGCATCATTTTAGGATGGCCTCCCGGTGTCTTCCCTTCGTGTTACACATCTTGCTCCAGCATTGGTTTGCCAGGGAGGTTTGTGTGTGCCTCGTGGTTCTGGGTCCTTACACAAAGGTCAGTGAGATTTCTCGATTCCACTTCTGTGTTGAGGGCTAGGCTTGTTTCAGATAATTGCTCTCGTGAATTATTCACTGTGGTGTTACACAGCAGTGCTGTGATCAAAGATTTGTTCATGCCTTTGCACGGGCATGCAGTGTCATCTCTTTCTCTCTCTCGTAAAGTCTTGATTCATCTGTAGTGTGGACTTAGATGCTGACCAAAATAACATCATATCCACCAGTTAAAATAACACCGATGGACATCTCTCTGTCTTTGAAATATTCTGAATGCGTAATTCCAGTTAATTTTGTTAAGACTGCAGATCTGTTCTGCCATGATTACTAGTGAGGTTTCTGTCTGGCTGCATCATTTCACTTTCAAGTGAGTGTTTTCCTTGAATATCAGAAACCTATACCAATCTCATGTGATTTTAGCACATCTGCATGTTCTCCCGGCCTTGTACTTGAGCAGAATAACACTTTCAAGTGCTGGAATTTAAAAGGTCTGGGCTATTGGTAAAAGTTAACGAGTGACAATTCCAAACAGAGAAAACCTGAATGAATTCACTTCTTGATCTGTGAACATTTAAAAAAAATAATTACAGAGGTTGGCAAACGAGCGTTCCAGGTTTATCTGCTGTCGGGGGGTGTGCTTTAATGTACTTTCTTGAAGCATACTCCGTCTCTAATTTGTAAAAATAGGATCCTGGTATGACTAGTTCTGTATCTTAGTATTCCTTAGTCTTCTGTTGTCTGGCCTCACAATTTTCATACACTGATTTTGCTTTTTGTACTCTTTAATCCGTCTGAGAGGCAGCTGGGGCTGTGCTTGTGCTGCTGGCACCGGAAGACCTGCTGGACACTGTTGTGCTCAGTCTGTGGGTTTGGGCAGGGAAGCAGAGCCCAGAGAGGTGGGATATGCTGCCTGGTTCTGTGTTGAATGAGACCAACCTTATTTGCTAGGAAAGAGAAGGGCAAGTTATCTTTTTGGTTGGGAATTAACTATGAACCTTCAGTTGTTTTGGTATGTAGGTCTCTGGCTTGGCTAAATCTTTATCTGCCTTTAGCTGGGTGACTGTTGAAGTTTGTTAGTAAAGAGGATGGGAGCAGGAGACTTGGAAACTGTGTGGTCTTTAAGATGTAAAAATAAACAAAGCTGAGAAGCTGTACCCTACTTAAAACAGGCTGACCTAAATTTTCAGCAATTCTAGCAGAGAGGCAGGCTCTGGGTAGGGATAAAGGCTCACTGACAACTGGCTTCCCTGTCCTTGCATCGCTTGACATGGTTGACAGGCCACCACTGGAAAATCAACACTGGGGTCTGAGGTCATTCACTTCCCCCCCTCCCCGAGTTGCACAACCCTCGCTGTGGATTTGCCTTGTGCTCATGTGGACAGTCCCCTTGTTATGCAAGTCAACAGTTCAGCGTCATCTGGGAAGTCACAGCATGAACCTCTTCTCAAATTGCTTTTGTTGGAATGTGTTGAAAACATGTTTGGTGTCCTCTGGTTTGTCTCTACAGAGGTTGCTTTCAAGACTAGGTGTCTGGGAAGTCCATTCATGCCCTTTGTCTGTAGATTAATGTTCTTCCTATCAGTTACAGTTCTCCACTGCTGAATTATTAACTCTGCAGCGAGAGTTTTTTTCTTCTTACTGTTCATTGACTTTCATGCTTGATTTATTCTTCTGAGCAGTTTGAAACTGGAGCATGGGAATGTTGACTAATAGTAACGGATCACATGTGTGACCTCAGTGGTGGCTAAGTGGGAAAATGACATCTGTCTTTCAAAGTACTCAGAGTTTCCCAGGTGAAAGGTAGTTTGTGAACGTGTATTATCTTCGGAGGCACGTTGCTTGTTATTCAACAAAACTGGGATGTTCAGGCAGCCACTGGAGTGATTACCCGTGTGCTCCAGAGGCAGTCCTGTGGGTAGCATGAAGGGAGAAGGAGGGAGAAGCGGGTTTGCAGATTCTCCTGCTAATGTGGCTTTGTGGCTGTCCTGGCAGAGAGCCTGCCTTTGATTGGAAAATATTCCCCTTGGTGTTCTTGTAGGTACTGATGGTCTGCCATGTTTTGTTCTCTGTTTGTGTGTGCTTTTTCCTGCAGGGAGATAAGAGGAGGTGAATCGCGTATCCTTTCAGCAGCCTTCTGTTAAACTTGGAATACCACAGTTCAAGCAATTGAACAGATGGATAATGGAGACTGGGGATATATGGTGAGTGAGCCTGTGCAAGTGTGTGCTGTGTGGTACAACTGGGCTTTTGAGGTCTTGCAGCAAGAATCCTTCCAGATCTGTCTTGTTTAGCTCCAGAGCTTCACTCGTGTGAGGAGGAAAACTATGCATGTTACACCAGCTTTACAACAGCTTCCTTACCTTCTCCGGAGTGCTGCACCTCGCCTGCAGCTTGTGGGGAGCACCCAGGTTCATGTTTCACAGTGACAATCAGCCAGGACTGAACTGATGCCTGGGGCTCACTGTTACTGTTTTCCTAACACAAAGGCTGAAAATAGTTTGTGCTTCCTGCATATAATTTTAAGGACTTTGTAATTTTATTTATGAAGAAAAGTATTTTTCCTTGTAAACCTTGTCGCAAACTAGACAAACACATCTTATTTTTCTCCCCTTCTCATTCTGCTGCCATGCATATTTCTCTCTTCTCTGGCTGGCCACAGTCCTGGTTGTTAGGGTTGGTGGCCAGATGGGATTTATGTTCATCTCTCTCTTGCTTCCTCATGAGCTATCTGGAAGCTGATGCAGACTGGTTTGTGCTCTGCCCCCCTCTTCTAGGCAGCATGCTAATTTGTTAATAAATACTTCTTTTTAGAGTTAAAAGCTGAAAGTTCTTTTTTTTTCTTTGCTTATGTTAATGATGCCTCTGAATCAGGGCATGGATTATTTTGATTGTGAGCTCTTGGTCCTATGTGTCAAGTTGCACTGTCTTCCTCTTTTGAGGGAGAAAAAGAGGTTTAAGACTTGTTTGGTTGATTTTTTCCTTTTTTTTTTTTTTTTTTTTAATTTGGTTTTGTTCTAGAATGAGAGACAGATTGTGGAAGTAAGGAACACTGCTGGGCCTCATTCAGACTAACTTGTTCATCAGGAAATCTTTCTGTTCTCATTTCCCCATCTGTAGAATAGGAAAAAACTTGTTACCCAAATGCAAAACTCGCTTCTCTGACAGTAGCTCAGTTGTTCAGATTTCTAAAGCATTCTGGAAATGTGCGTTCTGCATGTTAAGTATCATCCTGTTTAATTGCCAGTTGTGCCTTGTTGCCAGGTGGCTTGGATTTGTCCAGGTTTAAACACCCATTAAAGGCTTTGAACGGGAGGAGCGTGATTCTCTCCCAGTTTTCCAACAGTATTTGCCATGTGTGTCAGTGAGGTGATCGAATCTTGTGTGGTGGCTTCATAAACTCTGCAATTTCTCTCTTTCTAGATGACTGATCCAGTCACGCTAAATGTGGGTGGACACATGTATACGACCTCCCTCACAACTCTAACGAGATATCCTGACTCAATGCTCGGGGCCATGTTCAGGGGAGACTTCCCCACTGCCAGGGACTCTCAGGGCAATTACTTTATTGACAGAGATGGACCACTTTTCCGTTATGTTCTTAACTTTTTAAGGACCTCAGAGCTCACTTTGCCACTGGACTTCAAGGAGTTCGACCTCCTCCGGAAGGAAGCGGACTTCTATCAGATTGAGCCGCTAATTCAGTGTCTTAATGACCCCAAGCCACTGTATCCTGTGGATACCTTTGAGGAGGTGGTGGAGCTGTCCAGCACCCGGAAGCTTTCCAAGTACTCCAACCCGGTGGCCGTCATCATCACACAGCTCACGATCACGACGAAAGTCCACGCGCTACTGGAAGGCATTTCAAACCACTTCACAAAGTGGAACAAGCACATGATGGACACCAGGGACTGCCAGGTTTCCTTCACTTTTGGGCCATGCGACTACCACCAGGAAGTGTCGCTCCGAGTCCATCTGATGGAGTACATCACAAAGCAAGGCTTCACGATCAGGAACACCAGAGTTCATCACATGAGCGAGCGTGCCAATGAAAACACAGTGGAGCATAACTGGACTTTCTGTAGACTGGCACGGAAAACAGATGACTGATTCTGACTCCACAGGAGCCACTTCAGTGATTAGCAACTTAATTGGACAGCAAACCCAAGAGAGTCTGGATTTTGACTAAAGCAACAATGTGGGCTTTTTTTATACGACTATTTATTGTTTATCAGTAAGGACTGGAGGAGTTTCGTTCTCTAGCAGCTCTGTTCTTTTGTCCTGATCAGAAAAAAACCGTGCATGTGCCTGTTCAGTCAAGACACCTTTTTGTTTGAAAGAGGGAGTCCGAAGAATTAGTACAATAGGGTATTTTGTGTCATTAACACAATTCTCTGACTCGACTCAAAGTGCTAAAATTACCTCTGTCTAAATGGTTTCTAATCCATCTAATGCTATGACACTGGGAGCAAGAAACAAAAAGAATTTAAAATGCAGTTGGGGAGAAGCTGCTATTGTGTAGACTAATTTAGTTTCTAAATCAATAAACAGTATTGTAATATTCTAGGAAAACAAATCCCACCCTTTAAAAGTACTTGATAAGTACAGTTTCTTACAGTTATGACAACTGTTTCTTTCTATGCATATAAATCAAGCAACCAAATATTATCTGTAGCCATGGAAATATGATTAGAAATATTTATATTGGATTCTAAATGCAAAATGTCCCTGTGGTAGAATTCATATTTTTAATGCCTGGTGCAATATTATTCCCAAGTGTAATGCCTGCCAGCAAGAAGCTAATAAAAATGTGAAATACAGAATACTGTTTTGTATTTTCTTTTTGTCTTTTAGAACTCTCATACTTAAAAAAACAAACCCAACCAAAGGAAAAAGCCCCACCCAAACCCCGTTTTTCTGTGCTGCAAAGTTGGGTGCTCTGGTAGGGCCCCATTTTCCTCCATTGCTGATATAATTTGTTCCTTTTTCTGTTAATCAGTTGAATCAAATGTCCTCATTATAGACAAAGCTTATGTTCTGAAAACTGCTTTAGACCGATAGAAAGATGGCATGTATTTGGACTGGCTAAAGGATAGGGATGGAGGGAACACAGAGCCTCAATACTGTAGCTGCTAAATAGTGTTATCTGGTTCACAGCACTGTATCAAGTGACTTTATATATATAATTTTAACTGCAGAGTGCTGTTTCTGGTGATAGTCAAGTTCTGTGGCTTTACTCTATTTCACATTGACATTTCTGCTTATCCTGGGCACTTTGTCATAGTTATGAATAGAATTTCTGGTTATGCTTTTACTTGAATGCTGTTGGGAGTAAGAGAGTTGATACCTATTTTGTGGAGTGGATCCTGTGAAGTTCTTGTCACAAGTAGGTGGGAACTTTCCATTCCATCTCTCACTCTAAAGGCCTGTTTTGGGAGTGTATTTGTCTATCATATTTTGTCTCTCCCTGTTTATACATGCAGGTTTTTGACTTATGTAATAAGAGGCAGCAGCAAGAGCTTTATACTTCCTATCAGGGAGGGAAGAGCAGCAGAACCGATGAAGCTCAGGAAAAGTAGTTGTTTCTTTCTTGCAACGTGGTAAGAAATACTTGTGTGGCATTGAATTATAATCACAAGATGTTCTTTGCAACACTTCATTTACTAGCAAATTAATTACTAGCCTGGATCAGCCTGCCCTTTCCATAATTATGAAGTATAATAATTAGATAAGCAGTATTGCAAATAATACACTTTATTGGAGACCAAGATTTATAGAAAGACAGGATGAGCGGCCCTATTAATGGGAAGGTAAATTCTGCAGACTGAAGCTGGCATCAGCTTTGTCTGAATCTTCATTAGGCAGGAATATTCCACTGCTGAGCAAGTCAAGAGCTATTTTAATTGTCCAAACAGATGTACTTTCTAATATACTTTTTGACTGAAGAGAACAAGTTGTTCTTAGAAACGAAGGATCATAATTTTACCTTCACTGGATTTTTCAGTACAGTTGGTTGTTTTGGGTTTTTTTTTTGAAGGCACTGTATAGTTCCAGCACCCTGAGAGGGGGTTCATAATGTGGTGGTGGGTTTTTTTTTTCTTCCTTAATCATCATATAGTGGATTTAGAAAAAGAATAAGGAAGCTGTTTGTTTTGATGCTGTCAGGACACTTCAGGTTACAAAACAGCGAACCCTGGACCATTCCTGGGCTGTCTCATAGCAGCGGGTACCACTCGGCGCTGCTTGGCGTCTGTCTAATTGCAAATGGCTCGCTGAGAATCTTTCAGACTTGTTGTAACTGCAAGTAAGCAACTGATTATTAATTCTGATTAGTCATTACTGATGCTTCATAAATGTACTGCTGCACAAAGAACAGGAGGAAACGTGTGTCCTTCACTTGGAACACGTTCTTTATAATTTCGATAGTGCGTTGTGAAGAAGTGGCTTCAAATACCTCTCGTAGGCTGGGCTCATCTGTTCAGAGAGAGAATGTGGAAGGGAATTAATGGCAATTAAGAACAGAAAGGCTATAATTTTTTTCTTAAGAACAATCTCTGAAATACAGAAAGCTAGACTATTTAAAAAAAAAAAAGCAAACAACAAACCACCAGCTATTTCAACTGTTTGCAAGATCTCATTCCTTATAGTGTGTACTATCCTTCATAACCAGCACACAACTCATCCCAAATGGGACAGAATACTATTTAACTTCAAAAAATATGCTTGGACTTGAATGTTTGCTGAAGGCAAATTTTGTGTTTAGCTGTAGGATTTCAAAGGGCTACTGATTAACACAGTAAAAATCTCATTCAGGGCAAAATGAGTTTTCAAACAGAGCAATGCATATTTACATCGTGCAGAATTTTACATTACTCCACAATATGGATGACTTAAGAAGAGAAAGTAAAGTTCTAAAGACCATGAAGGATGAAATTGCCTTGTTTAACATTTATACTCATTCTGGTTAAACATATTATTAAAAAACTCAAGTTTTGCACTAGTATCAGTGTATATAAAATACCCTGCATTTAGTGCTGTTTCATAATATGTATACAGACTTATTTTAGCTTATTTTGTACAATGTAACCTCAGTGATACAAATTTAAAAACCAAAACCACATGAGTGGCACATGACAGCCCAGCTCCCTGGCACAGGCTCTAGTACTCTGCAGGCTCTAACTCATTTTTAGGTTAAATGTCTGAGCTCAGACTATGGGTGGCACGATTGGAGTGTCACAGGTCATTGTTCGGAGTGAGATACAAGGAATTAAAAGCTCACATCTTTCATCTGTATTACTTTTATTAGAAGGAAAGCAAACAGTTTCTGCTCTGGCTAATGGGGAAGTTGTCTGGCTGTAACCCATCCATACCTTGTTGGTGGGGGACTTCTGAGCCCACTCGTAAAGCCGCTGATAAACCTGCCCGTCGTAACTGCCCAGCGCGGAGTTCAGGCTCTTGTCTGTGAAGTCAAAGGCATCCACCAGCGGAACGGCGTCCTTCCTACGGAGCAGAGCAGTGACATTTGTGTTACTGAAGCAGGTATCGCTTTGTAAGGGGGGAAGATAAAGATAAACTTGGAAGTCAGTTGTCCAGGTTCCTCAGCCTAGAAGGTCTGTGCCAGTTTTTCTCCTTGTCTATACTGGGGGGGAAAGCCTGCTTCTTTTGATTCCTCAGAGGCATCTCTAGGTGACCCTGCCTTGGCAGGGGAATTGAACTAGATGATCTCCAGAGGTCCCTTCCAACCCTAACAGTTCTGCAATGTTCCACTAATACCCTGAATTGTCTGTGCTGTTGAATGGGAGTTTGCAGGGTCTTGTAATCACCTGGGCTCTGTCCCTAATTCCCTAATTCAGGACTCAATCTCACATCAGATGTTTTCTCAGCAGTCTCTGCCAGTTCTTTCTTTTGATTTTTGTCTTATTTTTCTCACGCTGTGGGTGTTTGTCTTATAAAATGGAAGAAGGTTGCTATTGGATTGATGTGAAGTGCTTTGTTGATCTCCAACCTCCATCTACCTTTCAATATTTCTATTACCTCATCATGAGGTGTTGACGTATTTTATTCTCTTTGTGGCTCTAAGAGCAAAGCAACCCTGACCCACACTAGGAGCCAGTCTGACAGCAACTGAGAGCTGCAGCACAGGCAGCTTCTTCTAAGCAGGAGATGGTTTCTTTTTCCTTGTCCTCCCATTGTCCTGCGTGTAGGAAGTCATGCTGGCTCTACCTCACACCAAGGTACCGGGATGCGAAATGTTTTGCTCAAATGTTGGCATTTGCATCTTCCAGTTCCTTTTGAGTAAGGGCTCTTTGGGGGTTTGGGAAAGGCTGAGATTTTGCTACAGACCAGGAAGTGTTTGTATTCTTTCTACTAATTGTAAATATGTAAATACTCACTTCATTCTTGAATCCTGTTAACAAGGCGTGGACTAAAACAGAAGTTGCAATGAATTCCAGAGGCAACAACATGTTAGTCTTTTGCAAATGTTATGTTGAGCTCATCACTTAACTCAGATTCCGTGATCAGTTCTGAAAAACCTTGCTCTTTGGCTCAGCCCTGTTCAGCCCTTGCTTGTGGTGTGTTCTTGTTTCTCTCCACGTGGCTTAAGTAGAATTTTACACAAAACTTCTCTGCACCATAATCTGTTCTAAACAAACAGCACTGAGTAGTGAAAGATGCATGCTTTGTCAAAAGGCCTTTGTGAGTGTTGTGGTAAGTGAAAACCTTAACATAACTCAGAATTTACAGAGTTAGTGACAAATTGTGTCGAGCAGATGCATCTGAAGTAGCTGTAGGCAGGATTGTTTGGGTACCAGTTGCAGCTCAGCCATGGCAACAGAGTGGGCTGTATTAGCTGCAGCTTGAGCAGATTCTGCAGTGTGTGATGGGTTGCTGTGGCTGCCTCCTGCCAGTGCTGCTCTGACTACACATTTTCGTGTTTTCGCTCTACTGAAAATGGTATAAAGTGTTCAGGACTTCTTCATTTATAATTTAAGATTTCATGTTACAGAACTTTCAGAGATTGCAGAGGAGCTGGACACTTGTTATGGTCTGTTTTACCATGAAAACAAGCTCTGTGTAGATGTTTCAATCAATCTGTAGTGCTGCCAGGCAATGAAAATAAAAACTGAACGAGGTGAATTGACTGTGGAGATGTTGCCATAGGTACAGTAGCACCATTTTATATCTATTACAGGGACAAACTGAATAGCTGTGTGTCTCCTGCCCGAGCAGCTCACCGAATAACAGCCAGGAGGTCCAGGTAGGATGCTGTGACCATGTCCATCTGAGCTGCAGATATGTATCCATCATGCAAGAAGGCTCCTGTATTCGAGAAGATCCCGTGTAGTGCAAAGAGGTCACAGAGATGTTTCATAATCCTCTGGATGCCAGCCTTGGTCTCGAGTTTTTCCACAGTTTCTGCAAAGTTTTTCACTGTGATGTAGTGGCAGTGAGCCTGGAAAACAAACGCAATCAACAGTGAATGCACCTCAAAACACTTTTAGTAGGTCAAGTGACTCAAATGTTCTTGCAAAGAATATAAAACCTTTTCATTTCCTTGGCACTTCTCCAGTCTGTATCCTTTGTTTGCTGGGTGACCAGGCCTTTTGCATTCATGTCTTACAAGCAACAGCAGACAACAGAATTAGGGTTGTAAACAGTCAACACTGTGGTATTTGTAAACTCTAGAAAGCTGCTTCAGAAATCATGTTAGTACTTACTCTAAATATTTCTGATTAATATCCCAAAGAGTTTGTGTGAAGGAAACACATTGGAATGTACTTGTGTTGACCCCTAGCAAGTGAATCTTGATTGTACATCA